AGTCCACCCGTCTTAAAGTTGCCCAGGTTGAGGAACCGTGGTGTAGGCGGCGAAACCAATTCCTGCGGCCCTAAGTAGACCCCGCCCTCTTTCCTACCTTCTCCCCCTTGTTCAGGACTCGGCAGGGCCAAGTCTCCGCTGTCCCAAAAATGGAATTTCTGATCATTCCAAACATGCTGAACAGCTGTGACGGATAATCCCCTCGGCAGGAACCAGCACTCCGCGGCCGACTGCGTTTCTCGCGTTTCCGCGCAAAGAGGCGAAGGGAGCGCAGCCCTCAGCTCCGCCCTTCCTGCGCCCAGCAGCTGCAGGTCCCGGCGAGGGAAGGGCGAAGAGGGGAGGGCACCGAGCAGCAGCGGCTGGATAAGCCGATCTGGACCGGAGGACGAACAGCGCAGCCGCCGGTTTCGCTGTTCCTGCAGAGACCAGGAGGTTGCGCCAGGCAAAAGGAGGAAGGCATTTGGGCGGGATTTTTGTTGTTGGGGAGAGGAAAAGGAGAAGCAAAGCTTTACTTCTGTGCCGCTATCAGCAGTTCGAAGGGCAGGAATAAAAGCGACGAAGCTTTCCCCATGAGTCGTAGAAGAAGTTTCCTGCTCGGTGGAACGAAGTACAGCAGGAGCATTTAAAAAAAAAAAAAAAGTTGCTTGCGAAACAAGAGCTGCTAGTGTTAGAAAATGGCAACACGCAACAGCGTGGGATGGGTAGAAACGAATTTATTTTGCTGCAGTCATGTAATCAGGTGTTGTAGCCAGACCTCTAACGCCAGTGGCTTCTTCTGATCTAATGATATGTGACTGTTCCGTGTGATCCGTGGGTAGGTGCACATTAGATTTAATGTGCATTTTAAAACGGGTCTGTGATGTAGCTCAAAAGCATCATGTTTTGTTCCATAACTTCTTTCCATTGCATGAAGTAGATAAAATAGTTTCTATTGTTTAAAATGCTATCTGAGCATCCCTTCCCTTCTGTACTCTCATCAGAATGGAAGTCAACTGTTTGACAGACCATAAGTGTAAACAGAATTTATTGTCATAGTTTCCTATTAAGAATATAAACAGAACTTTGGTCCAAGACAGTTGTTTCTCTGGCAGATAACTTAATACAATGTACATCAGTTAACCTTGACCCTCTAAATATATTGTATTATAATTCCTATTACCTCCAACCAGTATTGTTGGGTGTGATGGGAACTGTAGTTGAAGGGCACCAGGTTGGGGAAAACTGGCCTATGCTGTGATTCTGCAGAGTGTCAGGCTGGATAGGAGTTGGAGATGCCAAGGGCTGAACCTTGGATTTCCTGCAGTTCTTATTCCATATTACTTGAGTCATTTTGTAATGGATAAAGTATCAAGAAGTAGCTATAATTATGCCGCTGAGTTTACCAAAACTCATACTTAGACCTTAAAGCAGAAATCTGATTCCAAGACTTTCTTCTAAAGCCTGGTTGGTTGGTTGGTTTTTTTTTCAACAAAGGGACAGGAGAAGACTTTAAAGCAATTTGGTCAATTTGGGGGGCAGATTTTTTGGAGTTGTATTATTTATGATACAATTTTCCAGGCCTTTTTGTTCATGTTGTCAGCTCTGTTATAGATGTGTATGTATTAGTGTGTGTATCAGTGTATTCTTTCAATTAACTCAAAATAGTACAGTAGGTACAATACATACATAAAGTCAGTGACACCAGCCTCCTAAGGCAGCTGATAGAAGTTTAAGTTTGCTTACTTTGAACATAAAACATATTCAGAGTTATGCCAGAGTGGATTATGCAGTGGTATCAAGAGTGATGGAGAAGGCAGCGGATGTAGCTGCAGGTCAAGCATCAGAAGGGAAGTTTAATTGCATCACTCAACCCTTTGGAGAGGGTTGGGGGTGGAAAATTCTTAAGAAATGTGATCTTCTCTAGAAAAGAGAAAATTGCCTGAATTACTTGAAGCTGCTCACCAGCCCTTGGCTAGCTCATGAATAGTCCCAAGCAACAATTAAAGCAACTGTGCAAAATAAGAGTTTCCATATGAGATGGTCTCTTTCACATCTAAATTCTGAATCAAGTAAATTTAAATGCCACACTGAAAGTATCTCCAGAGAAATAGAATGAGCAGAGTTCATTTAAAGTTTTAAATATGTTTTAAGCTTCTGATGATTGACTATACAGGTAGTCCTTGCTTAACAACCATTCATTTAGTGACCATTTAAAGTTACAACAGCACTAAAAAAGTGACTTATGACCGGTGCCCGAAGTTGCAACTGTCGCAGTGCCCCTGCAGTCATGTGATCATGATCCAGGGGTTTGGCAGCCAGCTCACACTTATGATGATTGCAGCATCCCAGGGTCATGTGTTCACCATTTGCGATCTTCCCAGCCGGCTTCTGGCAAGCAAAATCAATGGAGAACCATGTGTTTCACTTAACGACCACAAACTCAACAATCGCGGTGATTTGCTTAACAGCTGCTGCAAAAAGTCATAAAATTGGGTCCAATCATGTGACCATTCACCTAATGATTGCATTGCTTAATGACCTAAATTCCAGTCCCAATTGTGGTTGTTAAGTGAGGGTTACCTGTAAAACAAATTCTCCAAGCAGCAGCAGGTGGAGACACTGTTGTTCACATCCTCCTGAATGAGTGCTGGGGAAATGGGTCTGTGCAGATCTTCAGTGGAGTGTCTTGATTCAATAAAGTTTTAATCATTCACACAAATCTTAAAATCATTGAAGCGTGTTGAAGGTGCCCAGTTTAATTCTATGCATTAAATTACTTCGTTGGTTAGATGGCCTTTTTTTACTTCTACTTTAGTCCACTCCTGGCTTTGGCTGAATCTACTATAGTGCTGTAACCACTTCCATATCTGGGCAAAGCTGTAGGTGAGGGAGGATTGACTTTTGTGACAACTCTCTAAAATTGATATGATTAGCTGGACCTGCTTTTCCAGAGCATACTTGCGGCAGGACTTGCTTTTATTTGTTCTGACCCTTATATCCTCCTAGCTAGAATTTATTCAGGCAGATTTGTTTGGAGAGAAAGAAAGAGATTGTTGTGGTTTTTTGGTTGTTTCTGTTTGGCTGTTGAGTTGCTTTTGTGATCCTCAACCGTCCCCCAAATCCTATTTATATCTTCATTTTTCTGACACGTATACCCCTTTACTTTGCAAGTGTTTTGATTGTCTCAGCTTTTTCAATTGCTTTTAATTCTCATCCCCCCCCCAAATAAAATAAAATTCTCTAAATGGAGGGAGTTGTGAATAAATAGTTCTGAGATTGTCTGTTTGCTGTCAGACTTATTTATTTATAATTTAGATTTAGATGACTCAACTCAGTTGGTCTGCTCCAGTAACATGGGCCACCTTCTAGTTCATTCACTCTTTCTTGCCATGTGTCTGTGTACTCACTACTCCCAATGTGGTACCTTCTTTTTTCTTCAGGCCCTCCTCTTTCCTTCTGTGTTCCTCTTTTTTCTGGCTTTCATGGAAAGCTCTCTGTGCCATATCTGGGTGATTTTCACCTTTTCTGATGAATCTTAAAAAAGAAATGCTGGCTTCCCATACTTACACCTTCTCTTCTAGCAAGAAACATGCCTGCATTTACAAAAGATGTAATTAGCATGCTCCTCAGGTAAATACTTAAACCTGGCAGATAAACTTCACTGTTATGTCAAGGTACATCATTTCAACAGATACTAAGACTGACTTGTTTGTTCCCTCTCCCTTGCAAAACTCCCTAATTTTTGTTTGTTCTGTTGCTTCTTGTTCTGGTTGAAAGCTGTCCTCTTTCCAAAGAGTGTTAGCTAAGAATGAGCTGCTAGCTGAGGAACTTGCTAATCATCTGATCAGTGAATCAGCTGCAACTATAAGCTCCCTCCTCAGACATATGTTCAACATACAAAAGTATACTTCTTCAGCCAGAAAACTACACAGTCCCACACAATCAGCCAAACATTCCTCCCCAAGGCTCAGCAGATCAGCTTCACAACTGTCTGGTTCCTTTGCAAAACTCCTCTGCCCTCTTTTTGCTCCTTCTTCTCACAGCAACCAACTCTCTATTCTCTTTCTAAAGAATGCTGACTTTTAGAATTATTTTTTTAACTTGAATCTCAAAGCAAATCAAGATCAAATCAGTAATCTTGAAGTAATGAATTGAACTCTGACACATCCAAAGTCTGAATCTGAATTGGATCAGGGCTGGTATGCACAGCTTATGTGTACTGAAAACTCAACAGTAAAAGTGTTTACTCAAAAAGTGGGAAAGGAGACTTCTTGAGACTTCACAGGCTACATGGGCCAGCCCTGAAGACTGGAGATTTCTGTTTATGTTCTGTAGACATGGGACTTAACAGGATTGAATTTAGCTAGATATGAAGGCATAGGGCTGAAAACAACAGTTGAAGCGGAAGGAGGAATTATTTTTCAAATAACAAGAAATCACATGTTACAAAGCACTCATGAGGAGAAGCATCTTCAGTGAATCAGCATTAAACCTATGTCCTTTTAGCCAGTCTTTTATTGTGTGGTTTCCTAAGAATCTCAGGAATTGCTAGTCTTCTTCCTTCATGAAAAATAAGCTAATCCCTCTGAGCTCGCCTCCGTGCATGTGTCCTCTTCACTGCTAGCCTTTGCAGCTGGAGGTTACTGAGCTTCTGACTCCTCCCGGCCTTGTAGCGGATAGGAAGCAGAGTCCTGCTCATGATGCTGAGCTTCTCGTTCAGCTCAGCCAGTCTTGTCTTTATTGAATTCACTTGTTTCAGGAGATTTTCAATGGCTTCTGAAGCAGGCCGGAGGCTGCAGATTAAAAAAAAAGGTCATGAAGTGCTCTACAGACCATATTCAACTTAAACCATAGCAATCTGTTGACAAGCAATGGCATACTGCAGCCAAGTGTATGTCACAATTTATGATAAAGCATCAATGTGGTAAGGGCAGCCTTCCCCAACTTGGTACTCTTCAGATATGGTGGACTGTAATTTCTGCCATTCCCAGCCAGCACAGCACTTTGACGTTTTAGATACGGAGATGAAATCCAACACCTCTGGATTACTAGTTGGTTTTTGATAGGAAAAACTTCCAAGCTTTTTGCTGGTTAGGTTAACCATACTTCCTTCCTCTGAGGTCCACCAAAGCTCACACTGGCTGGGTCCTTTGATTTGTACCAGATTTAGACATCTTTAACACTGAGAAAGCAAGAAAATCTTTTGAAAGGCGGGCAACATTGTGCATTAAACTTACTTTAGAAGCATGATATAGGCAAATATTTCAAATATTACAGGTTAATATACAACCATATACTAGTCTACAAAATCTTTTGATACTGAAGCACAAGACACATTAACTGACAAAAGATGAAATCCCTAAAT